CCTCAGTCAGACTGCAGAGACACTGAGCTGTTACAGCAGGAAGCGACTGCAGCTGCTGAAGAGGAAGAGACTCTGACACAGACCACTGAAAACAGAGCTGACAGTAACCTCACCAAGCACACACTACATATGCTTCTGCAATCAAAGTATTATTAGTAGTATTATTTTCATTAATATTAATATTTTATAATTTGGGTTGTTTTTCGCTCTAAGTGCAGAACATCCTGATTTTTTTCATTTCTACTCTTCATCTGAATCCAACTATCCCAAAGCCAATGACAACTTTGCTCTCAATTCTGCTCCACAAATATTTGGTTTTGACTCTCAGACCATATTATCTACATGAGCTACTGGGTGTCCTTGTGTCTCTGCCAAAACTTATAAGTGTCAGTAGAATATTCTTATCGACTCTATCTTTAGATGGTCATATACATTTTCAGTTTCTAGTCTGCTGCTATCCTGCTCTTGGTTTGCCTGAATGTGGTTGCTGCTTCTCCAGTACTTTCCAAATTCAAACACAATTTTAAAAAACTGAAAAAAAAGATAAATAAATACAGACTTATTTTAATCATACCACTGTATAAAGAGTTTGTACCATACAACATGATCATCTGACTATCACATTACCAGGATATCTTGATCATGTCTTTGCATTACTACCTTCAAATAACAACTCTTTGTCTTTTTGCACCACAGAATAATGTAAACATGTTCATGTCAGTGCTGTTTTGAATTTGTCTTAATCTGCCCCCAGTTTGAGTCTCTACTCTGCTGTAGCCAAGAACAGCTGATATGTTTGGTCCTGCTCCTCACTGCTGCAGGATCAATTGTTTCTTAACCTTTGACTTGTGCACCACTTCCACAAACATGTTGTATAATCCTCCTCTAACAGATGGTGACAAACTAACTCCATGCAGTGAAGATTAAACTCTTTTCTCTGTCGCTGACTGGTTATAGTTTAACGGAGCTCAAAATAAATAAAACGACACTATGAAGTAAACAATCATATGAAGAAAGTGAGTCAACTTTATAAACAAACCAACATAAAATAACTGAAGAATTTTTAAAATTATCTTTCTTATCATGAATTATTGTTTATTCTAATGATTTAATATTGTACACTTTGAGTCCCACACAGCTGTTTATTATGATCCATACAGAATCATTTAAGAAGACAGCAGCTACACTGATAGGAGGCAAACTGTGTTTTATAACGTGATCAGTCACTGATGTATTACATTAATTCTGCTGTACGGTGCATAACAAGTTCAACACTATATGAGGGAAGTATAATAAAACTTTGTAAAATGTTTCTGATAATATAATGGTGCCTGGTTGTGTAAAGATCAATAATAAAACAACACCAGAAATGTTTGTGTGAATGTGCAGTGAGACCAGATTTGACGTGCAGCTGATGTAACTGTGCTGCTGACTGATTATTGTCTCTCCTCACACAAACACACAGCTATTTGTTTGACTATGAAGGTGTTTTGAATGACTGCTGTGCGTCACTGCTCCTGCACCAGTTTAAGATGAACCACTGAGACAAGTGTGTGCAGTCTCTCGGACGGTGAGATCAATCATTATGATGATGGTACTGACTCTGTTGCTGACCATGTTGGTGTTGGGACTTCAAGGTAAGAAGTGGTGTGTCTCTTTCATGACCTGTTTACTTTCATATATTGGAGGCTTTGAAACTTTGAGTTAAATGTATGATCATTTCTATACTTACATTTGGAAATCATTGTACTTTACCTCACACTGTTATTGCTTTTACAATGTATTGAAACTTTTCTTTTCTAATTTCCAGGATCAGGTGCCAGTCCATCTGTAACTCAATCTCCTGTGTCAAAGTCTGTCAGTGTGGGAGAGATGGTGTCTCTGAGCTGTACAGTCAGTACAGGAGTTGATGATGACCTCAGCTGGTACCTGCAGAAACCTGGACAACCTCCTAAACTGCTGTTTTACAAAATAAGCAGCCAGCAGACTGGTACTCCAAGTCGTTTCAGCAGCAGTGGATCTGAACCTGACTTCACTTTGACCATCAGTGGAGTTCAGACTGAAGATGCAGCAGTTTATTACTGTCAGAGTTACCACAGCGGCCCAGTGTTCACACAGTGATTTGTGGTCGTACAAAAACCTCCCTCAGTCAGACTGCAGAGACACTGAGCTGTTACAGCAGGAAGCGACTGCAGCTGCTGAAGAGGAAGAGCCTCTGACACAGACCACTGAACACAGAGCTGACAGTAACCTCACCAAGCACAAACCTTATTGTGATCTCTGTTTCTCTTTTTAACATTTGATTTTTCCCATTTTTAGATTGGAACAGGGATTTATTCTCTAGATTCCCAGTTTTTGTTGCTTCATTGCCTGTTGTCTATATCCCATTTCAGAAACTCCAGATTTTTCTCTTCTGAAACCACTAGCCCCAAAGCCCAGCAAAAGTTTCCTCTCATTTCTGGGATACATACATTTTGCTGCTGATTCTTAATCCATCATGTTTAGATGAGCTACAGAGTATTCTTGTATCTTGGCCCTTAAGCATGAACTGTGATATAATTGTGTCTGTTTCAAGAAGCTTTGATCTTTTAGGGACTGTTATCCCTTAAAATGTGTCAACTTAAACTGAAGCATGCAGATGAGCCATTAAAAAGCCTTAATAAGGCAGGTTTACTGTGTAATATGTAACATGCAGATGAAGGTCACATGATCAGCTCCTCTATCACCTGCAGAGTCAGTGGAACAGCCTGCACACTAAGACACTGCAGATGATGGAAAGTGATGACAAAAGGAGCCAAAGATGCTCGTCAAGCCAGCTGGCTTAACTCACCTGGGCTCATATGGACTCACCTGTTCTCTGTTCAGTCCTCTGTTGATGCTGAACATTTGGAAATGAACAAGGTGAAACTGATTCGAAATAATAAATGGCTTTTGCAATTTTTAGTTTTTGTTGTTTGGAGCAGGAACATGAAAGCACACACACTATATTCACAGACTCTCATGTGGCCAGCCTCAGGTTGCCTAGGTAGAGGTTCAGTACCACGTCTCCATGTCTGCAGTCAGTGGCCCTCACTACTGGACCTGTAGTGCAGCTTCACCATGAAGCTGCAGAAACTTGAGACAGCAACAGATTCACACTAACAACGTCTACTATGTTAGAGACTTGGGTGATCCTGCAGAGTCCTGACAGCTCAACTGGAAGAGACAGAACTTTACAGTCTGAGTAAGATTTTAGGTTCAGGTCACACCTGTGTTTTCCTACTGTCAGACCTCAGAGGACAGTTTTATAAGGGTTTGTCTTACTGTTAAAATCAAGTAACACGTTGGGCTCTTCTTTTAGGACAATGAGTAAAAACATCTTATCTAGTGTCCTAACAGGAAGTGACTCATATCACAGCTGAAATGTTTCAGAGCTGCAGAGGAGTTTCAACCTGTCAGCAGCTGCTAATGAAACACTGATGTTTTGGGAACTCTTCATGACATTAAAGTTATTCAAACATCTTTTGGTAAAAAAAGCAGAATAATATTTTTATTTATCCATAAGAACAACTTTTATTTTGACAATGTAAGGTCCTTTAAGGGATTTTCACCCTTAAAAACACTTTAAACTACGCAGATAATCTCACGTTGGCCAAGCTGCAGCTGCAGACACACTATGGTTAGGGTTAAGAGAAGATGTCCAGTAAAGTGAGGACTCAACAAGACTGCATCTAGACCCTTCTTGACAATCCATTCCAACACTTTAAAGGAAATATAAGAATGTCTCAAACTTGGAGCCAGAAAGCAGAACCTTTTGAGTTAGAAAGAAAAAAACTTAAATTATAAAGATAACCAAGCACAGAAAGTTTTATTGCACACAAGGCAGTCTATATGGACCTGACACTCCCACCCAGTTGAAGTGTCTGAATTAACAGACTGACATGATTATGAAAAGAGGGCCAAAGACAAACTCACTGTCATGTCAATATGAAGTTGTTGTGAGCCTGGACAGCCAGCAGAGGGCAGCCTGCATCTATTTATGATCACAAAGACCTTTGGGAAACTTTTCAAAGACAGAAACAGCAGAGAGATGAGGAACAGAGAGTCAAAAGTTTCTTCATGTTCTTCATCAGTCCACAGGGAGATGTAGCCTCTGCTTCCTCCACCTCATCTCTCCCTCTCTGTTTCACATGGACAGGTGTGCCCAGATGTGTTTTGCATGACTTTAATGCATCACTGCTCCTCACAGTTTTAAAAATGTATCCTTGTCAGTTCACTCAGTCTCTTTATGAGGAAGCTGGGATCGTTAAATTCTAGTTGGACTATATCCACTGATATAAAAAAATGTTACACAGTGCTTTCACCAGTAGCTGCGTAAAATAATCTCATATAACAACAGCCCAAACAAAAAAGAGACAAAAATGTCAGAAGGTATTTGTCATGATGAATATATCATAAAAGAAACACAAAGACACTGACTCATTATAATCCACAGTTTTATTTAATGATGGTTTAATGTTCATGCCACATTTGTGATGAATGAATAGTTTGTGTTGGAGTGAAACTAATAACATTCAGTTGAAGTTGAAAAGTAATGAAGATAAAGAAGAATATGCAGAAGATGAGTATTAGAAAGCAACATGCAGACTAAAACACTGAGCAGAGAGCTGTGAAAGTGCAGAAAGATGTGAAGAGAGGAGATGTGTAGCTTCATCAAGATGTGTATGAAAGAAGCAGCATCATTTCCNTTGCACAGATCAAATAAACCAGAAATCAAATAGGCTCGTGAGTTTTGGAGGAGCTGATTGGCTGATCTTCTTGTCAAAGGACAGGCACCCTTTTCCCCTGCTTCCAGTCTGTATGCTAAGCTAAGCTAACTGGCTTCAGCTTTATATTAACCATATGATATGAGAGTCTCATCATGAAGTTGAATGAGTCTCTTTCCTGCAATACTAAACTCAAAGGCCGGCCCTCAACTTTTAAGGGCCCAAAGTGGACATTGTGGGACCCTCCTCAGAGTAAGCTGTTGCCACTTCACATGGCACTAAACCAGCTCATATGAACTGTAGTCTAAACACATATTATTACAAATAAACATGTAAAGAATAAAGTGGGACCTATTAGCAGCAACAGTATCTTTACAGTAAATACAGTGTTTGTCTATTTGTCCCTGAACCCCATGAATGGTCCATCTCAGGCCTTTTGCTCGACCCAGTGAGTTTGATGCATATTTTAGTGTCACGTTCTCGGTGGAAAGGGCTGATTCTTACCTGTCTGAAAACATATCCCAGCTGACACTGGGCGAGTTCACACAGGACAGGTCTTCAGACTATCACAGAGCTGACACACAGAGACAGAATATTTTATGTCACCAGTTAACCTGACCTGTGTGTGTTTGGACTGTGGCAGGAAGCCAGAAAACCTGGAGAAAACCCACACTGACATGGGAAGACTCACATATGTGTTACTACTTGGAAACATTGTGTCTACTCTCCCATCAAGCAGCCTGAAATACACTGAGGTCAGACAGGTTAACATCACATTGTCGTGCAACACCTGAATCAGGTCAAGAGACATACATCACAATGAAAGGAATGAAGACACTCCAACAATCAAATTGTGTCAGATGATAGTGAGTTCAGTGTTGATCCAATATGCCAGCAGAGGGTGTTATAGACCTGTTAATGAAGACGTGATGTGAGACTATAAAGAAAGAAAAGTTTTTGATGAAGAGAAGAACCATAAAAACAGCACAAAGTCAAACTTTTTGAGATGGGCTTTCAACGGCCGAATAATCCTCAAGATGATGAACTGGTGCAGTGTAGCAGTTGATACATGGTCAAATACCCATGATGCCTTGAGTGTGTTGAGAGCAGAGAAATGATTTCCATAGAGAGGAGGCTTTGCATGGTCAGCTGATCCTCCAGTGAAGTGAGAAGGTTTATAGTCCTGTGAGTTCAACACTGCAGGACTCAGATGTGTCAGTCAACACAGCAGAAAGCACAAGCACCATGACTCTCATCACCATCCTCATCTGGACGCTGGCCTGCTGCTGTTTCACAGGTTCATTCACTCAGCAACATTTCAAACATGATGTGCTGCCTTTTCTCTCATTGATTTCTGCTGATAAATGAATGATTTGTTTTTGTCTGCAGGATGCAGCGCTCAGGTGACTGTGACTCAGCCTCCAGTGGTGACATTTACTCCAGGATCCACTGTCACTCTCACCTGTAAGACCAGCCAAGCTGTTTACAGAGACTCTAGTGATGGAGATTGTATGTCCTGGTATCAACAGAAATCTGGACAGCCTCCAAAGCTCCTAATAAAATTTGTGAGCACACGTGAATCAGGAACACCAGCTCGGTTTAGTGGCAGTGGAAGCAGCTCTGACTTCACTTTGACCATCAGTGGAGTTCAGACTGAAGATGCAGCAGTTTATTACTGTCAGAGTTACCACAGTGGTGATGTGTTCACACAGTGATTTATGGTGGTACAAAAACCTCCCTCAGTCAGACTGCAGAGACACTGAGCTGTTACAGCAGGAAGCGACTGCAGCTGCTGAAGAGGAAGAGACTCTGACACAGACCACTGAACACAGAGCTGACAGTAACCTCACCAAGCACACACTACACACTAACACTGACATATTTATGAAAAAGATTCTTATAAATGTAATCACACTACATGATGCTCTTTTCACATTTACTGTCAAACGTTGAGAGAAAGGTTGCCTGATCACGTACAACAACCTCTGTTGTTAATGTGTGTTTTTAAACCTGATATAATCATGTGATCTTTCCTTATCTTTATATATAATTTTAAGTCTATTATAAGTTCACAAACAATACTGACATTTATATTTACATAGTGACAGTGACATGATGGAATTAAATGTATTCAAACATATTTTGGACAAAAAGAAGAAGAAGAATGTGATAAATCAGTTCAGGGAGGACCCAAATGCAGAGTAACAGGCAGCTCCGAGTTTTAACAAAAAGCAAGCTTTAATGCAGCTGATAAAAAACATCCAGATCAAGAAGGTAACTGAAAGTCCAAATGAAAGCAGAACCAAAACTAAACTGAAAACCAACTGGGATAATACAATGAACTCAGGTATAAAACTCCAAACAGAACACCAGGCA